TTTTTTTCAAATCAAAATAGTGCAAAAGCACATGTCGAAAAAACACTTTATCGCGTTCCATTTTTCACAAAGCAAAAGAAATTGTTGTTTAGGAAAATAATTGTGTATGCTGACTGAATGTTATCGAGAAATGTCGAAATTAATCACAAACTACCTGTTTCGTTAGTAATGACTACTAGAACTGTTTGCATTGCCATCTAACATTTGCGGGCGGAAACTAAGTTAAGGTCCTAATAATTTATCCACTTTAGCTAAACTTCTCGTATCTAGATCATTTTCGCTATGACTACAAGACTGTTTTGTTGAATAACAAATAAATATGTTATATACTGTTAAATCCGTAGTGCCAAATTATATTCAATTTGAGTTATTTTTAACCATTCCTATAAGTCGCCACTGCTCCTACTAAATATGTCGTTAATTTAACTAATGTAATGGAGTTAAATAATTTAACTTAAGAAATGTATTAAATTTGACTAAAATTTAGTTTATTTTTTATTATGTGCACGTTAATGTAACCTTTGTTTTAGTACAAAATGACTTAATATTGTTTTAAATGGGTTGATTAGATGTGGTTGTTTTTTTAAACACATGTTTTGTGTTAAAATAGTAAATTTTGACACACATGATAGTTAAAAATAACTAAATATTATTTAACTCAAGAAATTGGTTTAAATTTGACCCTCCAATATTTAACAGTGTATCAGTGCCAGCTGAATAAATATCTTTTATTTCTTAGGACATTTTCTATCAATATAGAGAGATCCAAGTATGACTTATTCACTCTTATTTATTAGCGGAAAATACGACTTTCTTCGAATAACTCGGATTCGAATAGTGAAGGTTCGGATTCAATTAGAATAATTCGCGTATTTTTGATAATCAGGTGGCGCATTGCAAATTGCGGGTCCTCTTCATTTTTCTTTACATTCTGCAAGAAATAAAAACAAGATCGTGTAGTTCATTAATTACTTCAGGTTTCGGCAGACAACGCGCTCTCTCGACGAAGAAATTCCTCCCCAACGGTCCCGCCCCCCCGAAGATCTCGCGCATTCTTCGCCGGCTGAATTTCTGGAAAGCCGTAAAACTGCATTCTTTATGAAATCTACCGTGCTCGCCTTTAGCTAATTAATTCCGGTAGAAAACTTGGCGAATTGCGAGAAAGCGAACGAGAAGGGCCGTTTTTGCAATCGAGGCCGTGGTACGTGACGCAGAAGCGAAATATTTTCCGGACGAACGAATGTTTCACCGCGAACATCGGCGTTTGTTTCCGCGCCATAATAACTCGACGGTGATAAATCACGTTCATGCGATACTTTGTCAAACCGGCCCGACAGCGCGTTTAAATAATTAACCTTTTGTCCCAGACGGGTGTGTAATTTTTTATTGAATCCTATAACAGGCGCGGCCAACTGCGCGATCTCACGAGTGAAATACCGCGATTCAATTTTGTGAGCGCTGTGACGACGACCGTGATTTATACGCTTCTTTGTAACGCACTTTGTTCGGGTAATTAATCTCGTAGTAAGCTCGCGTTTCGAGTATTCGCAGCAATTTCATTCAGGCTCCTGATTTATTCTGCCCTTTGCCGAGCTAACGCATTTTTAGAACGCGCCATGCGCGTTCAGATTGAGCTCGAAAGTAATTTCAAGCGAAAATACGTCTCTATACACTCGCGACAATTTGCTAAAAGCTTTGCTGTCGCAGAAAAAAGGAAATAATCAAGAATGTTGCTATGCATATTGTTATTTTTATAATGAGAAAACGTGAGAATTCATACGATTAGTAATTGCCGATAAATCTCCTAAATATCGTCGATCAGTTCTCTAAATCGAAACGAGATCCGCGAATTTAAATAATCGACTACTGTCGCTGCGTAACGTTTAACTTTTCGTAAATCTCACCGCAGGCGTAGCGGATTACATGTCGTTTCCGATACACATCACGCATACCAACGCGGCAGTGATTTACACGCATCAGGATTCTGTAGGTTTTCAACCGAGCACATCGCGAGCGCAAACAGGGAAAAACTGCTGTTTGCTCGACGAAATGCACAATTATAAATATCTCGACGCAGAACTCATTTAACCGTGATAATTCTCCTGCACGTTTCATGACATTTACACTGTTTCCCGTTGCGTTCAATTATTTGCCTCGAAACTTATCGAATGAGTAATCTTCCACAATTATACACATGAATCGCTTCATACGTCATGTTAAGTAATATAAATAACGATGCCTTTTTGCATGGATATTTGCAGTTATGGATATAATCGTGAAATTGTTTCATTTATCTCACTCTCTCAATTTTAACTTGTCAATGGTTTGTTAAAAATGAGAAAAATGAGAATCTAAAATGAAATCTCGAGCAATTATGTTTGTTTGGAAGGCAAAAGTAACAATATCTGGACACATACCTAACTCTGGACATTTTAATTGATTTTTGAGTACAAATATTTAAACTTTTAATACAGAATATATAAGATGAGTCACCCAACATTAAATTATAAAATATCTTTGTTGTTTTCCGTCATTACAGAGAGTAAAAAAATAAACCGTCATCGAAAATCTCAAAAACCCTAAAAATTTATTTTTAGTGAGCGCGAAAATCTAATTGTTTGAGTAAATAATAAAATCTTTTTTATTATTTATTTTCTTACTGTTGTATAATTACTTATCTAATTTGTTTCTTACGCCAACTATCGTTAGAATGTTGAGATAGAATTGCAAATACATAGGCATATTGATTCAAAATTATTTTATATTTTTAGAGCTTTTCGAAGATATTTTTTCAAGTTTTTTTTACTCCCTGTTTCTAATTATTTACTAAAAATTTTTAAAAGTTTTTAAAAGTTTGTGAAGTCGCTTAAAAAATGTTTTTTTTTTTTTTTTAAATAAAGAATTCGTTTTGTATCTCCAGATGTACTTGGATCCTCAACAATGTAATGAAATTGGTCAATTTCTCTAAATCAGTCGTACAAACTCTAGACACTGATCTAAGAATCTCTATTGCACTATTAGAAACATAGTAGAGAAGAATTTATGTGAACAGGAAGCTATAATATTCTCGCTACGTACGTATCCAAGTATTGACACTTTCACCTTATCAATCAGATTCGCGTGTCGCGGAGAGCTTGTACAGGGCGTTGTATCAACATATTGGTCAGTATGATGGATTGCTTGCTCGCTTCGTTGGCAGACACGCATGTTCGGGCATAGACTGAGCTTGGACTCAGCATGTACTAGTAGTAGTGAAACGATTTACACTCATTTTTGTCATGAAAAAAAATATGACAATCTCGTGCAAATCGTCTCGCTCGCCACACTGACCTCTATATGTCGATGCAACATCCTGCATGTTTACAAAAAAGCGACAGGGAGAAGCACTCCCATAACAACGTCCGTCATTTTAGCTCCTCCGTTGGCGCTGGCGTTAGTATGCCACGCGCTGTATGCGAGCCACTTCCGGTCGTAACCTGTATCTCTTTATTTTGTGCCGCAGGATATCATAGCTCACGGGCCGGGAATGGTGTTCCACGTCGTAAACCTCGTAGTGATGGTACTGATGCCGATGGTGGTCATCCACGTGAAGGATTCCGGATTCAGTCTGTGTAAGCGCCATTTTACGTATCGTTTCACTCGCGAATTTCGTGCCCGCATCCACACGATATTACTTACGTGCCGGCATGGCGGCCGGGATCGATATGGGTAACGTACGGATGTACGTAAGTAATGTTCTCGAGTTACCTCGCCTCGCGCGATTGGAATAACACCGCTGTGCGCCCATGCACGCCGGTAAGTGCGAGTTTATGCAGTCACTCACCGCGATTCGAAACGGTTTGGGCATTCGCCAGGCCTGCTTATCGTGCGAATCCATTCTTTTCCATGACACATAATTAATTCCTAAGCGGCTCGCGCATGCGATGTTTCTTTGCAGCGCGCGCGCGCGCGCTCGCTCTCTACATGCACCATCTGTACGTGTCCACGGGGCCGTGTAAAACCATCATTCACGAAAATGCGTTCACGTAGGCGAAGCTCAGAGCTTTGCCTCCTCCCCTCCCCCTCCTGTCGCCTCTCCGTCCCCCTCGCGAACTGTGGATTACTCTGTTGTATGTTACTTTTTTTTTCCTAATTGCGTACCGCCTGCAATTTGCCGGAACACTTGACGGGACGCGAGCGCCATTATTTGCAGTGGATTATACATTTTCCATTATGCGAGAAATTAAAGCGCTCCACGAGTATCGCCGAGTTATAAAATAACTGATTTTTAATTGTTCACCATTTCCACGTCCGTGGCACGGTGTCGGGCACGTTCCACAGCAGAGGGAACCGTGCTATCGTATCAAAAATTCTATTTAAATGCAATACCTATGGTCATCCGCGCAAATCGATGCACCAGCGGGGAGGCGGCGCGGAGGATCGCTGAGCTCACGTTCACATGCAAATGCAATTACTTCGTGCTCTCTTTCATCCACAACTTCATGGATGCCCGTTCTCTTGCGCCTCGTGTTAGCCGCTGCACCGTCAAGACAGACGGTTATACCGGTTATACAGTTTTTAACGCTGAATTTTCACCACGACGGCACGATAGACGTCCGACTCGCAATATTATCTCGGAGAGCGCGTATTATCAATTAAATCGAATCTAATGACAACATTACCGTTGCCATTAATATTTGAGGGTCAACGACTGGACAACGCCCATAGAGTGGCCGTGGCTTAGCTGGATCTATCGTGTCTATCTGCCTTTCTCACAGGTTACGCAGTTGCTGGCTTTACAGAGCCTTATAATTCGCTCGGAATGCGTCTCTCTTAGCTTAGTTGGTGTTATGGTGTCGCCACCCCCAGATGTGTCATCCTGTGGCGACAGGCAGCAACGCAGCCACAGAGAACATGCTCTGCCGTCTCTCCTGCCTCTTCGTTACAGAGGCAGCAAATTTCGTCCTCTATCCCTCCCCAATCTTTTGTACGTGGTATTTTAGTGGAGTATTAATCGCAGGACACCTTGTTCTATTCTCTTTTGTCATATTGCGCGTCATAACGCTTCCTTCGCCAACGAAGAAAAGTAATTAAACCGTAACTGCGTCCGTGCGCGCGCAAGCGAGCAACGAGGCTCCTGAACGTTTGTCTAATTAAAAGAATTTAAATTAATTCCCGGAGTAAATGCACGCTCTCTCGCGGACGTGTGCGGGCGATCGATTCGATAGGTGTGTATTGTCGCTCGTCTACGCGCGCGTGGGCAGCGATCTAATTTAGTTTTTCAATCCGAATGATGAATTATCGTGAAGAAAAGTCGGAACTTTATGGAAAATCGGCCGGACTTTAATTAAAAGATCTTTAATCGCAGTCGGCGGGAGGCGCCGGGCGTAATAAACCGGTGTTCTCCTGCTAATTCCGCGCGGCACTGCGTTTTTAATGCTCCTTGTCATTTACATAGTCCGCAGAACTGCGAGTAAATACTCGTGAAGCATCTCGGTTCCCCGAGAGCGGGGCGAATCGCCCTTTTCGGTATTTGCAAGAGTGAATCTTGCGTCGTGAACTTTATACTGTTACCGGGCAACGCATCTCTTCGTCGTTCGTCTTCTTTTATGGCGTTTTGTTGTGACGAAATCTGCAGAAGCTTTTGATTTCGTTGTGATATTCGACCGTCAGTCGTCTCCGATATAGTCGACGAGCAGGCAGAACGGGAGACAGGACTTGCGGGTCGATTGTAGCATGGATAAAACGGAAGACCGCGGGCTTGCGAAGAACTCCAGTCGTTAAAACTCGAAACACCGACAAAGGAAGATCTTTTAGTTTCACGGAAGATACAACAGCCTCGTAGTATTTAGCTGTCTGTGTGTGTTTGCGACGAGAAGTTGAACTGGACGCTTTTTAACCCCGTCTCGGTTCTGTAGATAGAGATATTGTCCGCGCAGCGTGTGTTCAAAAACGGTAATGTAAAAAAAGTACAAAGGAGAATTGACTGAAAACGCACATTGTCGCGTATTTTCCGACAACGAAAAAATACGTGGTCGGACCTATTGTTTTCCATTTTCTAGCTGTCGAAATATCCGACGCAGATGTGTTAAAACGGATTGCATTAAGAGCATGGCATACTTGGAAATTTTTATCAACAAAAAAACACTGATTCCTTTTTGCAAAGTTTACGTTGTATCGCTTGCACATATGTTTTTACACAATAAAAATGCGTGCAAAAATAAACTAGAGCATTGTTCGATGGGAATGATAAAAAATACAAAATTGACATTTCGAACTTATAGCATTAATATTTGTCTGAGACAAAAGTTCTCTAGCTTGTATATACCGAATGTATGATTGCTGAGCTGAAAATAATTGCAGAGAAAATTCCTGCACTTTTATAACTGAATTTATAACTGAAGAGACTTGGAAAGATACGAAAAATCTGCAAAAAAAAAAAATATATATATATATATAGTTAGATTTTCCGCTAAATATGCTGAAACACAAAGCAGCACACATTCACATAAGATCCATATATGCAAGAACTATGAGGAAGGCAGTGTAATCGTGTTAATCATCTTATCTAACATGTCGTTTTGGTGATCGCCTCTACGTTATCGACATTTTTGAAGTTCGCCGTTCACCTTGGCATTCCCTTAACACAGGCGCTGTTAACGCGCGAGTGTTCGTGAAAGAGTATTACGGCATTAAATCGCAAGTAATTTGTAGTTCGCGTTTGTAGAAAGTTTTCTTAGCTTGCGGCCGCTATTTCACACGAGAGAACTCTCAGATTGAACAGTAACGGATGACAATGAAACTTCAAAGTTGGATCGAAGCTTTTGAACTTTGACAGGAGAACATATGACCTCCTATCATCGGGGATGCAGTGTAGTCGAAGGTGAAGGATTGTCATGCTTCAAACTACGTGAGATTTACTTCGCTGCTGCGAAATTGGAAGTGTTACTGTGTTCTCTTGCGGATGTGTTGGCACGTACGGGGGAGCTCGTTAGCCCGAATAAAAGTAATTAAACGAGTTATTGGAATTCTCCGAGAGAAAGAGAGAGAGGATCCGCCGCCATAGTTCTACGGTGTATGAGTGCCATAAGTAGATTAAGTAAGTGCATACATTAACTTATTTAATGTGTTACGTAATTACACGAATTTTCCCACTCGGATGGGATAACACGTCGTGTTGCGTAAGGAGAATTAATTGTGTCTCATCTCGAAATATTAACACAGGGATGCAAGAGAAAAAAATTTAATTATGTTACGCAGCGTCAAATAATTTCACCCAGCATTAATTATAATCACGTACACACGCGACGAGAGAGTAACCGTATAAGTAACAACGCCCCGAGGCACTTATTGTCCCGTTAAACGCGACGTGCTGAAAAGGAAGCCGCTCTCTCGGCGAAAATCTCGAAATCTTTGACGGTGGTCCGAGAAAAATCTTTAAGAACCTTAGTCCCCTTTTATTTTCGCCCGTAAATCGTCCGGCGAACATCCTGGGAGAATCGTTGTTGGTGCGAATGCGTCTTTGCGCCCCTGCTCGCGTAAAGGCGTCAAAACCCCGGTGTCTACGTGAGTGAATACACTTTTGAGTGCACACTCTCGTATACGTCGACTCGCATGTTGAAGGGTCGAGCATCCCGAGTGAAAGAGTGACGAGGAGTAGTAGTAGTACTACCATGGCGATGCCGAGAAGAGAGGAAGGACTTCTCTCGCGAGAGAGAGAGAGAGAGAGAGAGAGAGAGAGAGAGAGAGAGAGAGAACCCAGGTCGTCCGGGCACTTGAACCAAAGCCACCGCTGCACTGCTCAGCACTTGCTTGTGAAGCGCGCTGGTCTACGACTACGGAAGTTTTAAGAAGCGCTTAGACGGCCCAAACTCGTGCGAATCTTTGCCTTTCGCGCTGCTGCGGCTTCCAGCTTCCCCCTACACTCTCACGTCGCCGATATATAAAAGGATCTAGTCGCACCGGTAGCTTCCCCTTAAGCGCCGACGTATACATTGTTCCCGGCGCGCGACGGAGGAGAATATCTCTTGATTGATCGTACACCACACGATCTACTTATCTCTGCGTTCTAGTCGGCGTCGTTCTCGCCCTCCCACCCCTCCCCCCTCTTCCCTGTCCCGCGAACGTGAGAAATACGCGCGTCATCGCAGGGAATAATAACACGTCGAGCCGCAGTCACGTCGCGGCTAATAATTTCGTTTCGTAGCTCCGGCGAATTAATTGCACGCCTCCCTACGTTTAACGAGCGACCGATAATTAGAAACGCCGTTTCAGCCTGCCGTCGATATGGCTGCTAAACGGCTCGTTAAATTTCCCTGATTTTGCCCGCCCGTTGTTTCGACATTACGTCGTTTCGCGTACACCCCGATAATCACCCCTGTGCCACGCGCACACTCGGTGTACGGCGTCCTTTTTCTTTCCTCTACCCCCTTTCCCCGCCTCTCTCTCTCTCTCTCTCTCTCTCTCTCTCTCTCTCTCTCTCTTTCTCTCTCTTTTTTTTCCGAGCTCGCGCGTCGGACGATTTAATTCTCCCGCTCGGGCTTCTCGTCCAGCCGAATGACGGGGTTAAAACACGTGAGATACTCACGAAAAACAGCGCGAGAGCGAGGGGGCACGGCGCGACACGTAGCGC